CCGCCGCACTCTCGCCAAGGGAACCTCACGCCTTCTCAGTGTATGAGCAGAGGGAGGAGCAGGCACAAAAGCCTGTTGCTTTAGAAAGAGGCACGGGTACCATCAGAGCATGGTGAGGCAGCGGGAGCCCAGTACGCCGGGCTCGCGTCTCGGCTGCAGAACCATTCCTTCTTTGGCTGAAAAAAAGCCCAAAACTTCAGCCTTGTTTTGTCACCGTTAATCAGAATCTGAAACCCCTGGAGCACTTCTAACAGAAATACATTTCTTGAGAGAGCCAGGTCAGCACAGATTTATCTGTTAACTTTTTTGCCTTTGCTTCACAGTGAAGTGACAGATGTAAGAGATGAGAAGAGACAGGGAGAGGGAAAGCACAAGGCAGGGAGGGATGGAGGGAACGGGAACAGAGCTACACACGTTTGCCTTTAGATTAACAAACATAACTCATGTAAACATCAGGGGATGTGGAGATGCAGCGTATGCCAGGAGCGGTGTAATAACTTCAGGCGTGACGCTCTTAAGGCAACTTCAGACACCAGAAAGGCGTCAGTCTGAGCTCCCGTTGCCGGTGAGCTGCTCCCTCCAGCTACTTCATTACTCCGCACGTTGTCTGTGTGCTGCCCAGAGAGATTTCCCACGGCGGCGAAGGTGGGGACGGGAGTGTGACAGCCAGCTCGAGTGACACCGCAGCACAGGGACTGCCAGCTCAGAGCCTGAGCTTAATGTGACGAGCGCGCCCGCTAATTCGGCCCGACACGGGCAATGATGCGTCGTTTGCCGCCGAAGGACTCTGCTCAGCCATCCGGGGACGCGGGCGCGCGTCCTGCTCAGGGATTACAGCACCCGGCTGTCACTCAGACCGTCAGGAACACGACGGTTGTGCGAAGGGAGAGGGTTCAGCACCGGGCACAAAGACAGGCGCAGCAAAGGCTTCAGCAGGGCATCTCACCCGGCGAGGCGAAGCCGTGCAGCCTGAGCGCACCGCGCTGTCAGACTCCCGGGCAGTGCCCGGCCCCATGCCCGGCAGGAGCGCAGCGGCTCGCAGGGACGCAGGGTGAGGCAGCCAGGGCAGCATGGCTCTGTGCCAGCGCAGTGCGACCGTCTGCGCCCTCCAGTGCCCCGGCACCACTCCCGCCTGATTCCCACGGGGCGGCTACTCCCAACCGCAGGGCGCAGACCAACTCTTCAGCCAACAAAGTCCACCACACGTTACTTCAGAGCCAGCCTCTGGGGAGTGTTTTATCTCTGGAACTTGGTCTGTCACCAGGTAAAAACCCCACCGGAGGAACAGACCTGTCATCCCCGAGTGTTTTGTTGAGGCAGGATTTTTTTACCTGCTAGGGTGGCAAGAACCTGCACCGGAACATGGAAAATAACACGCGTCCGTGCCCCTCCTCACCATGCGCTGTGAGCTTTTGCTTAAGGGAACAACAACAAGTATTTAAACCTGAAAGCACCGACGTTTTGAGGCAGGAGCAGCCAGGAACGCACTGGGAGCACACACCGGCTCGGGGACCTCGTCCCATGCCAGCAGAAGCCCTGCAGGGACGGCAAGCCCATCTCCGGACAGCCACGGAGAGCAGCCAGGCAGCGTCCGCCAGCCGCTGGCGCGGCCCGGGTCTGATCTCTCCTCCGTTGAAGCCGGAGATGCCGCCCCGCGGGGGAGGCGACGCAAGACTGTGCTGATGGCTCGACCGCGGTGCGGCGCGGACGCAGACCTGTGCCCGCACGGAATGGCCGGCAGGGAAGAGCCTCCACCTGCCCTCTGCCCGCTCCCACCACCGGACTGCTCTTGGCATCTGCCCTCCTGCACTGCGGCTCCTGGCACAGTAACCCCGGTGCCCCGGAGCCCCTTCCAGCAGCCGAGGGGCCCGTGGGACGCTGCCTCTCGCAGGTGGTGAAGGTGGAGGGGTGCAAGGGCGGACCCCGCGGGGTGCCCGGGGCCGCCCCAGCCCAGCCGGGCACGCCAGGAGCGGCTCTGGGTTGCAGCCCTGGGACGGCCAACAGAGAGCTCCAACAATCGGGGCAATGAGACGGCGACTGAAACTTGGTCTTTTTTCTTTTTTTGAAGCATGTGGAGTCCAAGCCACCCTCCAGCTCCCACCAGCATTGCCATGGCAATCCGCAACAGCACAGCGGCCGCCTGGGCACATCCCTGCTTCAGTTCTGGAGCCAGCCTGCGGGGCAGGCTCTGGTATTACACACACCCATTATTAAAGGGTAATTCAGTGTAACAAACCGCATCGAGTACATAGAAGGGCTGTCAAATAAAATAAACCACTAATAAATTAAATTACTTTCTGTTTTCAGCAAGAGGGGGGGAATGCCAGTCATTTTTCATTTAAAATAAAATATGTCTTAATTTTTCTTTCTGCCTTTAGCAGGCACCCCCTGCCAAAGAGCCGGTCCCGCTCATTCAAAGCTCACGTGACACTCGATTCCGCTCTCCCTCTCTGGCAAAGGCTTCCCCTTTCCAGAGCTGATGAGGCACTAATCCTCCCTTGAGCTGTAAAATTCATTGTTTCTGTGGCTGGGGGGGGG